CACAATATCATATTTTTCCAGCAGGTTACATTGCAGGTAAAATCTGTAGTTACAGCTGTGATCCCTGTTGAAGGATACCTGTGATGAGTCACGGACCTGGAACAACAACGTATGAAGTATAGTCAGGGTGTGGAGTAAAAAGTCAAACTCTTAATCTGCATATACTGTTTAGGTCATTGCATTGTTAAGGTTAAGGTTGGAAATGGACATCAGCCCTGGACCCATGTGCTATGACCATAAAGTATCCTCTCCACAACATCCTTTCCTCCCACCTTAAATTGTAGTGACATGTTTAAATAAGCTGTTACCGGCTTTAAAGTCACCATTGATTAACTTGCAGATAGCGATCATGCCTTCTCTAAGGTAAATACGTTTAATTTCCATAATTGTTCCTCATAGCTGAGGTCCTCTAGACTCCTAATTACTTTTGTTGCCTTTCAATGCACTTCTTTTTTTCCAGACATCCCTTCTGTTGATGGGTAACCAAACTGGGCTGCATACTCAAGGTCATTCAGTTACAAAGTATTAAAGCCAGCAGGATAGACGTCCTTTAAAAGTCAGGAGCTACTGGATGGAGGAACCCTGAAGGAAGAGTGAGGTGTCAGGTCTGTGAACTGATGGGACGGGGGCAGGTGACTTAGAATTTAGGCTGCAGAATTTGTGATTTGTTTACCATGAGTTCAAAGAGCATCCAAAAGATGAAATAGCAGCACAGACTTTGTGTATTACTTTACAAATCATGTGGGCATTAGAACAGTAACCCTGCATCTTCCCAACTGTGCATTTTACTGGTATTGCCTTTTCATTTTCTAAAATGTTCTCTAAGCAGACTAAAACTTGTAATCCATTTTTTGTTTGTTTTAGTGATCTCTATTCAGTAGAGGGCAGAATGCTTTCAAAGCTATATTTTCAGCTGGCATTGACATAGTGAGCAGACATGCTTTAAATTATTAACTGGGCACCCCACAGGCTTGTTCTCTGCTACCCAAATGAGCTCCAGGGCATAGCGTGCAAATGTTCCACATAAAGATAATTGATCTCTGTGCTGAAGTGTGGTATCAGTGCTCGCTGACACTTTGCTGACCGCTAGATGTCCCTTGCTTTGTGCATTGCACGGAGGAGCTAATAAAAACAAGTAAATTCAAATGAATGATCAGACATCAGTCATTCTTGTCACGAGTGAGGTCCTGATCATTTTTTTTTTAAGGATCTCTGTTAAAGTCCATGAGTTAAAAGTTAACTGAAACACTAACAGCCACCATTTTCTCTTTATGAAATGTTTCCTTTTTGCTACAAAAATTGCTTGCAAATTTGATCAGGAATATATCACTTATAGGAGAGTTTATATCATAGCTCTTACTGTTTTTAGATGCAGCTCCCCTTTCCCCCCACTATGTCATTGTCCTGTTCTACAGCTGACAGGCCTGAGGCACCATGGTGGAGTGCGCTTAGTGTCGGCCGAACACGCTCTATGGCGTGCATGTGCAAGATTACACAGCGGTATCAAAGGACTGATGGGTCACTGTGTACGGTGCACTGATGATGTCAGAAACAAGATGGCACCACCCAGCAGCAACAAAGGTGTTTTGGACACTGAACACCGCTATTATGAAGAAGTATTGCCGACTTGTCTCTGACACTTCCAGGAGTGCCGAACCTCTATATGCCCCACTGCACTTAGCGGTTCCTCCTGCCAACCCTGACGTCATCACTGTATCTTGTGAGATCGACACATCAGGAACTTTAGGTTTCTGAAGACAATTCAGTCAGCAATTCCTCCTCCTTCCAGTTTTGTTTGATGGCACAGGCATCAGGAAATGTAAGCATTTTGTTTTTTTTGCAGGAACATCTGTTATTAGAGGTTTTTCTTTTTGCAACAGAGTCGCTTAAAAAAAAAAAAGATGTGCATGACCATCACTAATCATGACTTCCAATGACTCCCAGAGATCTGAAAGCAGGGAAGGCACAGACAATAAATGTTCCTGATATACATACTAGTTCTATTTCAGTGAAACCATCATTGGGTCACCATAATAGCTAGGCAGTTGGCTAATTTTTCAGATGAAGATCAGCAATGGCAGCCACAATGTTTCTCTTAGGAAAGGTTTACATTATGAAAGTATAGAAATGTTTCATCTGGACTGTAATTCACCTTTAACATAATACAAGAAATGCTAAGTTCATACACTGTATAAGAAAGATTTTTTTTTACTTGTGGAAGATTATTTGGATAAGTTATTTAAAGCACATCTCCAGGCTATCTTAATCTGTCCCCCTGAACCAAAAAAATGCATCTCTGGTTGCAATACTTACCCTTAATCTGGAAGTGTCCACCACAATGCCTCATTTCCACCACAAGATGTCCTCAGTCTTCCATTTTGAATGATTCCCAGTATCATTCAACCTAGAAGACTGAGGAAAGACTGTGAGTGCAGGGCATCATGGCGCTGCTCCCCGCAATCATCCAAGATTGCCCACTATGAAGACCAAAGGGGACCTAGCATGTGACATGGCTGGCCTAACAACATCAGAAAAACGTGAAAAACTAGGTAGTTAAAAAAAGCATTGGGGAGGGGGGCACAGAAGCCCAGAGGTCTTGAAGCTGAATAGTTTTTACAATTCATCATGATACTGTCATTCTCATCAAGATCTAACTGTGACAGTTTGATTTGGATTGATCAATTAGCTCACAAACTGAAAAGTAAAACTGATTTAAAACTAGGACAGTGAAAAAAATTGAAGATCAAATGCATTTCTTCTGAGATAGAATGCTGCTGTATGTGTCACTCATGCAACGATAACTGTGCAACTAATTTGAAATATATAGGACAATGAAAAAAATTGACAGTTACCATTACGTGAGAGGCACATACAGCATTCTATCTCAGAAGGAATTACATTTATTTGATTTTCTTGAATGTTCTATATTTAAAATTAGTTCTACTGCTCTGTATGTGAGCCACTAGATCAATCAAAATCAAACTGTCTCCATTCGGACATGCTGGGCATAGCAAGTTTATGAAACAAAGCAGGATAGGTACTTTATTCCCTGCATCTCCCAATGTTGGTCTCCCAGCATTGTTTGCGCTCATATCTTTCAACATTTCTTGTAAAATTATCTAAAAGATTAAAATTCATGTAACATCATCACTATGCTACTCTGAGTAAGGGACCCTGCGTGGCCCCGAAACATTGGGTCCTTTACTTTTGTGACACATTGTGAATACATCTAGCTGATTAGGGATTTTTCTCACTTTGGAGGGATTTCCTCTCGCTTCCTGTTATAACTGTGGGACAGGAAGTCCCCAATGGGACACAGATGGCAAAAAAATATACAGGGGTTATAACCTTCCCTTACTATATCCAAAACTGAAAAAAGGTTTTGGCTTTAGGTCCATTTAACCCTTCTCTATTCTATCTAAAACTAAAATGTGGGCTTTCACTCATGTTTGTGAGTATGATTCGGTTTTCTATTTATGTTTATTGAAATAAAAGTGATCTGCACCAGGAAAGGCGCCCCTCTTTGTGCTTATTCCCTAAAATGTGGGCTTAATACACTTGGACTCTGTAGCAACAGGGTCACTTTAAGATTGAGAATATGAAATCCATTTAAGGTTTAAATATGGAAGTGTCATGTTGCTTGGTGCATCCAACTTTACTTAGCCATACATATTACAATGTGATTTTGCAATCCCTGTACAATCTCCTTTTGATTTACCGGCTGTGTAGTGTGATGGTTTATCTAAAAAAATCTATTTAGTTAAAGTGAAACTAAACTAAAACCAGAAAATTGTGAGCAGGCGGGCACTTTATTGCAGAAGACACATGCTATGTTCACAATCTTCTTTTGAATGTTACATAGTTACATAGTTAGTCAGGTTGAAAAAAGACACAAGTCCATCGAGTCCAACCTAATGTGCACTGAGCTTCTGAGATGTACAGTGCTAAGTGTACATTCTCAGCAAACCTCTGTGCCATGATGTAATAAGTTACGTGCACATGCGCAACAGATATATATCAACCCCCCACCAGCCAATGAAGATGGCTGATGGCTGCCAATCTTCTCCCCAGCACCTGGAGGAAGACAGGGAGAAGATGTCAGCAATGCCGGGAGAGCAAGAAGAGGCAAGTTAAGTTCCGTTTTTAATGTCCCATCATGGAAGACCCTTGCATTACATAGTTGTTGATAAATGTAAAGGAGATTTTACAATCAGATTATAATATTTAGGGTCACTAATCACTATCCTAATACTTTAATATATTGCACTTAAACTGTCTTCCTATGCTAGTTCTTAAGGAGACCCTACAACATAGTTTAGAGATACGTTGTGACAAGACTCAGTAGCAGCTGGCAAAGAGCCCTTAAGGGTTACAGGATGGTAATTAGAAACATAAGATTTATACACAGCCGTCTGGCAGTGCAGGGTTAAGCGCTGTGCATATTAGTGTTGTCTTCTCAGTCTCCTGGCAACGCTGACATTACTGAGGGACGTCAGATCCGGGAGAGACCAACAGAGGCATTGAGAGACACCTGTGACAGGCTGAGACATGAGCAGCCATTGAGACGGCCACCTGAGAGACTGAACACACCACAGAGAGACTGGCACAGGTAAAGCAGAATTCTCTAGGAGAGAGTCAATGGACCTCAAGCAAGGCAGACAGCCTACAGGAGGCAGGTAATGCATCTGAGATGGGAAGTGAATTTAATCTGCAGTCGAAAAGATATTTACCCGAGTTAGAGCGTGACTGCAACAAGTTGATAAACATCACAACTGATCTACCAGAACAGAATGATATCTATTTTTGGATGAAAAGAGTCATACCGGCTTCTGATAAGAATGGTTCGGATTCTAAAAAAAAATTTTACACAAAAAAAATAGTTGTCTTCGTAGTACAAGTCATCACGAAGAAGGAACGTGAAATGATACAGTGGTCTGTCTAACAAAGAAAATAAAAAAGGAGCATAAAATAAGGAAATAGTTTTGTGAAAAAATAAAGACATATCTTTAATTCACTGACACTGTCCCTAAGAGAGAAACAGAAAGAGACAGAGGAAAAGAGCTCATGGAATAATTTAACAGATGGAGAGAGACATCTGCAGTGTGTGAAACTGGTCATCTGTGAGACATAGGGATGGAATGACACCTGTTAGACTGCTCCACAGTGATAAAAAACAGAAAGGGATTGAGTGACTCCGAAAGATGTGCCTTTTTGCACGAGAGATCTGGTGAGTGGAAGAAGAATTTAAAATACTAGATGTAACAAAACAGGGAAATAATAAAACTGGCTCCTAAAAATTTGTATTAGATGAGGTAGCAGAGGCATAGAGCCAAGAAGACAGAGCCAGTATTTGTTGCCTTTAGAACTGTCTTCAGTATTCATTATTTCCTGATAGGCGATGGTAGACGGAGCAGAGGAAAATAGACCCACAGGATCACCTTGAGAAATAGAGAGAGAGAAGGAAGGGAGGGAGGGGGAGGGAGGGCATGGAATAAAGCAGCAGCACAGACTTAAAACACTGAACAAGTGAGTGTTACAGGCAGGCTAGATTGGGAAAGAGAGAATCGTGAAAGCAGAGTTAGATACTGGAGACCTTAACCATGTAAAGATCAGCCAGGAAGGACAGATAATGCAGGACTGTTGACAACATAAAGCTTAAGCGCTTGAAATATGTAATACAGCCTGAGAGCAGATCAAGACACATTTGTTTTCTCTTCAGGAGGTCCGGCTAAAAGCATCGCACAGAAGGTTTGGCATGGGGAAGTGTTTCATGGGAACCTTCGAACCATTGAAGAAGTTGTCCACATCCAAAATGCCGTGACAAATCTTGAAGCCTTTGGGCAATGAATTCAGAGCCAGGTACGCTTCACCCCTCTCCACGGGGTTCCATCCATCAATCTTTAACAGGGTCCATCCATTCCTCATCCTCCGGTTCAATCTGCTCTGGAGACATTGGACGTGTCCTCTCTTCCAATGTCCGCCGACTACATGGAGCTCTAAACCGACTGCTAAGCGAACAGGAGAGGGAACAGCTTTTGCACTGTTTACGACTCTACCACTCTCGTAGAAATGTTTTTGACTTGGTGAGGACACTGCGCATGATTCTGCGTCCACAGGACCAGAGGCAACTTTTTCCAATGATACGCCTTGTTATCCCGCGTTCGGATCAATTATTATTTGACCAGTACACCTCAGAGGGGCTGTACATAAAGGATTTGCCTTCAGGATCTTCTGGATACAATTCAGTTTTAGGTGATGGTGGTGTGTCAGCATATAGCAACCCAATATCAGGTACAACACAGGCCTTTAACTCAACTATCCCAGGCACAAATCCTGCCTTCAGCATCCCAGTACCAGGGACAGCTCCTGCCTTCAGCACTCCAAGACAAGGAGCAGGTCCTGCCTTCGGTACTTCAGTACCAGGGACAGCTACTGCCTTTAGTACCCAAGCACTTGGTCCTACAGCATCTGGAGCATCATATCCTGGGGGACCACCAGGCTACAATAACTCCCCACCTGCTGCCATAAAGCCAGAGGTCCATCAGGTCCTACTCAAAAGAAACAAAAACCAAGAAGGACTTGGTTTCAGTATCCGAGGGGGTGTGGAACATGGCACAGGCATCTATGTGTCACTGGTTGAACCTGGTTCTTTGGCAGAAGAAGAAGGACTCAGAGTCGGGGATCAGATTCTAAAAGCGAATGGACGATCTTTAGATAGTGTCAGCCATAGTGAAGCCGTTAAGGTATGTTACTTTTTACTTGCATAATTAGTGAATATATAACTTCCCATTGCAGGGTGCCTGTCAACTAGATGAACAAACTAGAAAGTGCCTAGTGCTGAAAACAGCAAGTGGTTTCATAGTGTGCCAGGTCAGCTTGCAATACTCTGCAACACTCTACATTGTTTATTGATAGTGAATATGACTTTTGAGTTTTGGAAATCACTTTGTATAGAAAATAAATGCATTTAACCTAGATGACATGTATGGTCTACCTCTATGCATGGTTTACTAACAGTGGCTTGGGAGTCACTTGTGGCTCACAATCCCCTCTAATATTGAACACAGCACCCTTTCAGCAGGTGCTCTGTCTGTATCAATAGCTGCTCTTGGAAGAGTAAATAGGAAGAAATGGGGTAGTTCATATTATTATATTGTAATGCATATTATAATTATTCTGTTTACTGACAGGTTTACATTGATATTTAAAATAATTTAGCAGATAGCATTAGCAAAACCCTGTATCCATAGCAGCATAGCAGCATGGCTAAGGACAGCTGTTTGCATGTAGTAGATATGCCTGGTCACAGCGCACACATTTGCCATGATCATTTAGAAATCAATAACAGCTCACAGCTTCCAACCCAGGATTATGTGTTTTTATTAAATAAGCCCAATAACTGGATTGCCTTAACTTGTTATATCTGACAGTAGCTCACAGGCATAAAAAGTGGGGAATGTCTGCTCTAAACTATCCAGTTTCATGTTGTACACAAATCACTGAATTGACAATCTGCATCTATTATAGTCTATCACACTCATATAAAAAGACAGATGAAATGCCAGAGTGACTGCAACAAGAAAATACTTTCAATTACAGATTTGACCTTTTCCATGGATATTCATTAGCTGCCATGTTCCAAAGAACAGAAAACTGAAATTGGTTATAGGCTGCTTTACAGATTATGTAATTCACATAGATGTAACCACAAAGCACTTTTTTGTATAAGCACTATGAGGAGCCCTGCTAAACACTTTTAGTGGGCAGGTAATGGCAGAATGTTACAGCAATAAGAGCCTGATGCTTGGTGGATTTTGGCATTGGGTGTTTGTCTCTGGAAGCAAGTCTAAAAAGTGTCTACCCTGCTCCTTGATCCCTAACTTTAACCCATCCCTAGGCAACACTACACTTATAACCCTCCCATATAAATAACTTGTAACCCCCCATAACACTGAATGGTTAGCCTAATCTGAAAAATAAACAATTTGACCTTAAACTTAACCTTTACCTACCTAAACTGGATCTAAACTGTGGAAGCTAAAGCTGTTTCCAAGAAAATGAGGGCAAAGAACTAGTCACCAGTGTGACCTATGGTCTCCTTGCAGCTGAACCTTTCCCCATTACTGAAATACCAGGCCTTGTTCTGCCCTGCGTCTCTGTATGGAGGCAGCCATCTTGGTAAAGGGGAATTCCCCATGTCAGAACTGCCCATCTGATGGTGACCTGATGACTGGTGGAGTAATGACAATGAAGCAACTGAAGAGGTGGAGGAAGTACAGATGAATGAAGCAGAAGCAGGGAGACCCTTGCTGTGCTAGGTCATCAAGTTCAGCTTTCACTTTAATTAAATCTCATTTTGGACTGGCAGTCTGAGAAAGCAGTGTCTTAGATGATCTCACACTGCAGATGCACCGCCATGAGGATACAGAACAGGAGTGCAAATTGCTTATTCAGGAGCGATGCAAGACAAAAGGTAGATTTTTTAGGGTTAGGCACAATTAACATTTCTGAATGTTCCCTATAAACTAGCAGGCCCACCTTAAATTCCACTTCTACCTTTTTAGGAGAGATTTCCTGAGAGTGACAACAGTGGAACGTGTCTACGCATGTGCGTCGGTACAACTGCTTGTAGTCTCCGTTGGAAGAACGTTTAATAGAGCCACAATACAAGTGCACAACTGGGATGCAGGGACTGAGCATTTTCACCCTATAAGAGGAAGTGCCTAAAGAAAGACCTTCATGTCAGGGATTATTTCAATGAAAGTTACTTTTAACTTATATGAGATTTAAGTGAGTGGGTTTACACATACCTGCCAACTGTCCCTCATTTGGAGGGACTGACCCTCTTTTTGAACCAAATCCCTATGTCTCTCTTTCTCAGTTGTTTCTCCTTTTGGTCTGATGTACAGATATCTATGAAGAGATACTATTCCCCAACAAAAGTGTATTTGTGCACTAATAACCCTGTTAATGGTCTACAAAACTGGGGCATGGTAAAGGTGTGTCTATTGTCTAAATACATTGGGGGTGATTTACTAACCTAAACACACGCACGCACCAGGTGTGTGTGCATTTTTACAAAGCAAAACGTATTTATCAACCAAACACGAGCAACGTGTCACATTTTCACGCCGTTATGGCGCGTTTTTATGTATTTACGTACTGCGCGTCATGTAGCATGCGCCATAGGCTACACGCCGCTCTAATAGCGGCATGCAAGTCTCTAAAAGCATATTTCCACTAATGCCATATATGGAAAAATCATGCACATGATGCATATATAATGCTGCTTCACCTCTATGCCTACAACCATCCCAAAAAACACTTTGAAAATGCTAAAAACAGTATTCAAAAATATGGAACTTACACACCACTGACGTGTTCAGCTCTGTATGAGCCAACTGCACATGTGTGGAGGCAAGTTCACACGCTTCTTAAGCCCAGAAACATGAGCACCCCGATTCTTCACGATTTCTTGGTAAATTGAATAGCAGCGTGTTCGCGTGCGACTATTATTCCAACCATTCTGTACTATCCAGAGGTGTCTGTTTTTTGAAAGCTTATTTCCTCTTGGCAGTTTTTAAGTGTTCTCATTCCACTTATGGAGAGACTTTCATTATTTTTTGCACTACCTAAATAATGTCCCAAAAACATGAGTGCATCACAGTTTAGACAAAAATGGTTAGCTCATGCATTTACATTCCTGCATTCATCAACGCAAGCAACACAACGCAGAGCTAATTTACACAACCTTGCAATTCATGCAGGGCTTTGCACAACACACCTGCTGGGTATGTACACACTACAGAGGTGTCTAGATTCCACCAATAGATCATGCTGGGGGGGAACACACTACAGAGGTGTATACTTGTTCGTGGCGTGTTTATAAGGTTAGTAAATCAACCCCATTGTGTTGGAAGTAGTCCCGTCCTTCTCATCTCAGAAAGTAACCTGATAATTAACTATCTAACATCTAATCATAACTTTAACCTCTACCGTCTATCAAGTTAACCTTTTGAAATCTGTACTCACCTTGTAGATGCCAAAAGGATCAATCCACCCTGCACCAAGATCGATACCAAGAGCCCCCAGTCTTTGCACCCAAAATAATCTGTACTGAGATACTTCCTCTGACACCAACTAATTAATGCCAGGAAGACATGTGTGCTTGGAGAAATTCAAAGGCTGACACTGCGGGCTTCTTGAAAATTCTAGTTGTTGACAGTTATAATAATTCTCTCCTTACATGTGATGGCTGCATCATCTTTTAGCATTTTTACCCCTTATTTTTACCTGGTGATCTGCCAGTATCATTCTCTGTCTTAGGGTCACAACACTCACTCACTCACTGTACTGTATCTGTGGAGGGGCAGAGTTGTCAACCAAGGACAAGACTTCAAAACAGATATAACACTTTCGATGGTACACGGATCAGACCAAAAGGGAGGAAATAACAGAAGTTCATTGTTAGGGTTTAGATACACTTTGTCAGGGGGAATCATGATGTGTCTGTGTCCACCTGCACTGCATCATCATGACAGACACATGAAACATAGGAAGAAACACTCTTTTTGGTTCATGGCAGCAGAGATTTTTGTTTTTATTCTCAATTTGGACCTGCTAACCTCCGGCATGCTCAGGATAAGGGATGACCATAACACAGGTCCTACTTTTTTTTAACTTTCCCCTACATATGTTACAAACATATGGGCCGTATTAACCAGTAATTATGATATTGGCAGTTTAATTTTGAATTTTTTTATACTTTAAGACTGCACAAAATACGGTATACCTTTTTAGTAGAATTTGGGAGGTAGGCTTCTGTAGGCTTATTTGCAACTAGGTGTCCATTTACAACATCCCTTTCCCTGGGTAGCCCCTATATATTTGTGACTGACTTAACAGTTGTATCACACAACCTGAATGCAGCAGGGTGGCAGCTAGTAACATCATAGTGGAGTCTGGAGTGGGGATTTCTAATGGATGTCTTGCTGACAGGTTTCTAGTGAATCTTAGGGAATAGAGACATTGGATAAATGAAAACGACAATACCAGCGCCCCCGGTTTGCAGAGAAATCCGGCTGTGAAGTTCATTAGTACACCATAGAGGCAGCTCCCACCGGTAAAAAAAGACCATCGATCTGGGAAACAAAAGCAAAACAGAGCGCCTCCATAGTGTAAAAGTTTATTTGATTGGTACAACACGCAACTGAAATTGTACTTACACGAAAGCCAATGATCGCAAGCATAAAAGAAACGATAAAATACAAAATCCAGCAGGGGAAGTCTGAGGGGATCTCCAAATCAGCGTCCTCTGCTCCTGTGAGTTTAAAATGGTCTACGCGTTTCAGGGGCACGCCCCCTTTATCAGAACCTAAGGTCTCTCTCCTAAGTCCTGTTCTTTTATTTAAAAGATGACCAATCGTAAAGGTTTTGTCTTTGACAAAGGTGTTTGGGCCAATCGATACATTTTAGAGGTATCGATAAAACTTCCTGTTGTCTCCCAGCAAATACCGCAATGGGACTATATGTATGCGGAGGATATTTCTTGACTTGAATTTAAACTAATTTCCACTTGTCTGTATTGTTTCAATTAAGTCTAAAAGAAACCACGAATGTACATGAAATACAAAGTTTCCAGCGGGCTCAGACGTCAGGCAGCGAACACTAGAGCGGCTTTAGGTCTGTTTTTAGAGGATCTATATCCAATAAGCTTTCCATTTTCTTCTTGTTTTCTCTTTTT